GACCAACCGCTCCGGGACGCTTTTATCGCGAGGATCGAAGCGAGTGACATTTTCCGACGGTTCGCGTTGCGAGCCTACTGGACAAAGCTCTCTCTATCGTTTCGTCAGTGGGCTATCGCACCCTCCTCCGTAACGTATCTTGGACGGGCGCGCCTTGCAAACTAGTTAATCTCAATCTTCGCGAGATATCCAGCCGGCGGCTAATTCCTATCCCTTAAGTTAGTCGGCCCACTGCAGCGATCGCGTTACCCCCGAAAGGGCCGGCGGAAGAAACGATATTTGTCCATGGCCGCAAAACGTTCTGGTCGTTGATCGCGGTAGTCGAGCAGGCGCTTTGATATACCGTTCCCCGGCGGTGGATGCCAGACAAGGCAGCGGCGGTTAAGCGGATGGAAAGACATAGCGCACAGAGGTTACCTCGTGCCCTCTGGAGAAGACCCGGCGCACGAGGCCCTAGGACACAGAGAGAAGAGAGACGGGAGAGTTCAAGCTCTTAATTAGCTGCAATTACTGCAACATAGCAATGTCGAGCGAATCGCCCGAGGCTCATCCTCCGTCCTTCCATCTTCCATCTGCGCGTACTCGCTCTTTCTCCTTCTCTCCTCCCTCGCTCTCGGAACTCTACACTTCCCCGCCAGTCCTTCGCCCCATTTCGGAGCCCCATCTCCGGGCTGTCTTCCGTGAAAGGGCCAATTTATGATGGAATTTAAACTAATATGCGGAAAATAAAAAGCGGCGGTCGCATCGTTGTTATTCCGCCGCAATCAGCGGTTGAACCGTGTCGCGTGACCCTGCGGCGGCTGCTGCTGCGCGACGCAAAAAGTCGAGACTGGAAGGAGAGAAAGCGTAATCTTTAGGAACGTATGACAAAAGCCGGATCGGATCATCGCGATGCATCCTCCGGCGCAGCGCCATCGGGCTCTTCGTTATTTTGAGATAATGAGGAATCTTGTCTGGCGCGCAACATACTTCCGGTCGATATTCCTCCCTAGTAGCTGCGGTAACAAGTCTCGGTAATAATACGGTCTTTATCGAGGGTGTTTACCCAATCATGCTACTTTGTTTAAAAGAGAACTTATCTAGTGCAAGTTAACGTTTTCCTCGAAAATATTGATCCTGCGTCTCTCTCTCTCTCTCTCTCTCTCTCCATGCGAGGCAGCGCTAACGACCAAACGTAAATCCCTCTCGCGTTGATTCATCTTGAGATAATTCGGTAAACAGGCGACAACATGAAGAAAAGAAGAAATAATTCATCAGTATGGAGGAGAGACGAGGAATAATTATTTATCTCGAAATCAACGAACGCGCTGCTTCCTCTGTGTCTTCAAGTTCTGCATAAATGTGTCTCAGGAAACGAACGGTCCGAGGTGAAAGCCTACATAATAAATTGCGATCTACCGAGAATCCATTTGTCAAGTAGGAGATTCGCGCAATCTCCTGAAAATTCTCGCGTTGAAAGGACAAGCGAGAAACTGCGTCATTGTCGTAATGGAACAGCAGCGAGAGAGATCCACACGTCGCGATGAATGCCGGCAGCTGTAGATTCCTTCTTGCCAGTTCCGATGCCAATAGCTCATAGATTTCCCTGTGCTCAGGATCGCGTGCGTTTCGCGCTTGTCCCCTACGTCTCGTGCGCGCAGTCGACGACTACCGACGATCACGGCCACAAACGGAATTATTTATGAGCTTGAACATGAGCCAAAGCTCGTCCGCAAGCCACTAAGATGTTTCCCGCTCCTCGCGCGGCATTCTCTCCCGTATATGTGTGTCGAAAGCGCGAGATTATATCCCCTCCTTAAAATTTAAGGTAGATCCCGCGTTAATGAAACACGCGGCCCGCGTGTGATTAGGAAAGTTGCCGAAGAACGTTTAACGTCTCGTGGCCGATCTCGCGCAGCGGCGGTAAAGCGTTAATCACCGGACTGTTGAAATTTCCGAGTGCATCGTGAGAATATTATAGAGCGGGATGCGCCACGGCCTTGCGGCCGGCCACTGCGCGCAAGGTCTTAAAAAAGAACGGCAAACTTGTCCCGTGTTAGATCTCCGAGGAAATTGAGCGTGGATAACTTTTGTCTAAAGACACGCGACGTTAATCCGCGTAAACGGTCCGCACTGAAACTGCGACTATGATATCGAAATTGCGGAAGCTAAGCGTTGACTTTCCATTTAATCAGGCGATAATATGCTTTGTAATTTCACTTGTTTCTGTTTATTACGAAATTACACGTATAAAGCGCATCGCGTTTGCGCCAAATTGCAGAACGGTTAGCTCTGTAATTAGCGACAATGCCGGAGATTATATGCAGGATGATATCAATATGTACAATGTTTTAAAGCTTCATTATACGCAGTATTTCGAAACTTTTCATTAATACCACAAATGTCACTTTAGACCATGCGTGAAAACGTGAAATTACCTCTTCTGCCGTATATCAGTTGATTCCAACGACTACGTGGCAAATACGAAATGTAAACGTCAATAAACTGCAATTTCCGAGCTTAATGAATATCGTCTAATTACTGAACGAGCAAGAATAATAATCTTTTCAATCAATCGCAAAAATATATATTCGCATAAATATTAAACCGCATAAATATCCATGTGTCGTTTTAAATCGTAGCTGCATAAAATTCGAGCGTTGCCGCCTAATGCATCGGTAGGCACTGACCGCGTTGACTGATCAGACGTTGTTCTATTTCGCTTGCTCATACTCGAGTCGAAATTTTCAACTTATTTTATTATCTTAGCTCGTACTGTGTTGTCGAATTAAAGGTAATAACACAGAGCCGAAATGTCGACTCGAGTAACGGGCATTGAGTGTCTCGACAGTTTTCCGTGAAATTTTTTATTAAATCAATTATCGTCTGCTATTATCGCTATTGTTACGCGACGCGAGAAAAACATCTGGAACGCGCTCTTATCACACGTCTGTATTATATTCTTGCGATTTTTCGAGATGCTCGTGTCTGGATCTCAGCGCCAGACAAACAAAGTTATCTCGTGTTTGTAAGAACCGCGGGCGCTCGTAAACTTCCGCTCTTTCTCGCAACTTCAATCAAGAAGCGCTCAATAAGATAAACGTAACTCCTGTCCTTGCCCTGCATCAATGTTACCGAAAACAGCGAGGAAATCCTTTCGGCATTCGGTCGAAGCTCAGCATCGCAATCACCCTAGTTCGATCTGCCACCAGCGAGCGGCGCCACTTAATGGATCAGTAGATACGAGCCGCATTGGATCAGACGCCGCACTGTTCCACTTCGAAGCCCAATGGGTATTGAGCGTTGACAGCTCTGCTAAGGAGATCAGTTTCGTCGCGAAATTGCAACAAAAATCGAAAGCGGTATTGAAAATATTCCCCCTTGATGCAATCTTTTCTTTACTTTTAATTTCCATTTATTTTTTAAATAAATTTCAATAGTGAAATTTGTGACGAATATTCCGCAGCTTCGCCTCGTTCTCGAGCGATGTTGAAGCGAACTATATAACGCGGTTATTCGCAACATATGCCAAGCGAATTTCATTTTTTTACGCCTGTTTGCAACAATCGAAATATATTTCTTAATCGATAAAATGGAACGTGTTACGCGTATAAGTCCGCATAATTACGATATAGGAATTTATAGATATCTATTGCGTAAAAAAGTGACATTTTTATATCCTCTGCCAATGTATTATGCAACGTTTTGATAGATAGATATGTGAAGTCCGCCCTGACTACATGCATAGTTTTTCTTCAATTATTGAACTGGAATTTTTCTAATGTAAATAAGAGTATCACAATATTGTTCCACGTATCACTTCCATTTCCACGGGGAACGAAAAGAAAATTAAAGAAAATAATTGTCAATTTAAACTTTATTATATATCTCATATTTTCGTCAAATTGGTTTAAATTTTCCAAAAAATAGATTTTTGTTGCGCTATTTGCAGAATTTTGTATGATTAAAAATAATTCCTACTGTTACCTCTAAATGCTCGTTTCCTATATTTAATATCGTTTGCTCTTGTGAATTAGATAAAATAATAATTGATAAAAAGATTAAATAAAATATGTAAATTTAGTTAACTGCTTAAAAGGATAAATTACTATGAAAACATCGATTTATCGACTTACTGCGCGCAGCATAGGCTGGTGCTGTTTTATATTTTATAATTGTCATCGTTGCAACAAAATAAAAACAACCGTGATAACGAACGATGAAATAAATGTAAAATCGTAGCAGGTTAACCTAAACATCTCGTCAATCAATAACTCTGCGACAAAAAATTCTTCAGCGTTATAAAACAAAGCTAAAATAGAAAGTTGAATGCAAAACAATGGCGATAAAACCATTATCTATTCAGGGGCATGTATCTCTCGTCATGAGAAGCTAAATATATCACCAGTTTTCCTTAAAAAATCGATGAAGAACAACATGGCATACAAGAGCCTAGAGAATAATGTACAGCCGCGCGCGCGTTCTAATAGTAATCTAAAATTCCCGCAGGAACGTCGACTACTCTTATCTCACGGTAGCTTCTTTTCGTTAATAACGTTAAAAAGAAAAAAAAAAAGGAGAGAAAGAACGAAAGAGAATGACAAACCAGTGAGGCTGACTTAAAGAGGAAATGACTACTTATACCGGAGCTAATAGCTCGGGCGAAATGTCTCGCAAGATACGCTCTCGCGGTGTAACTCGGGGATCAATCGATATTCGAGCTATCGTGGTGCCACGACGTGGTGGTATTCGCCAATGCGTGCGATTAAAGTGCGAAGAAGCATGGGCAAATAATTCGAGACGCATGATCGCGGGGGCTGCTGCATTGGCTCCCGCATCGAACAACCCTTTCGGCGTGGCGGCGTGCGAGCGACTGCTGGCTCGCGTCTTAGCTCGTGCGATTCCGCGGACGCTCGGGAACGCCGGCGCCTCTGGGCGTCGCGACGGCGGGCGTCCAGGGCTGGCAGGCAGGCAAAGGCAGGCGTCCCTTCGCGCTCTCCCCGCCAGACGAGTTCCGACTCTACGCTCGGCCAGACGTGACGTAACCGCGCGCAGCGTGGAGAGCGTAGAGAACGACGTCGCCGTCGTTGCAACCCCAACGTCGCCGCCACCACCGCCACCACCGACCGCAACCGACGCTGCCAACCACCGCCGCCGCTGTCGTCGATTCCCCTGTGCACGATCGCACGCTCGGCATCGTCGGACGGGGTGCGCGAATCTGTCCGTGTCCTACATAAATCGTCGTTGTCGGTGACGTTTATTCCGGTGGTTCGGAACACGCGTATTCGACGTCGCGACGCGCGCCACTCCACCTCGCACGCACCTCCACCGCGTGCGCCAGTACGCGCTTCAACTCCTTGCGTGGTGTATCGCGCCGATAAGTGCACGCGAGAGAGAGAGAGGGAGAAAAGTGTCGAGTAGAAAAGTCGTGGGCTGACGAAGATCGGCGAGAGCTTGACCCTTGCGATAGTGTGATCGAAGGAAAAAGCTTGTGGGTGCTCCGATGTGCACGGGAAGACTGTCGAATTCGCAGGGTTCTCGATTCTGGTGAAAAACATCGGGGCTCGTGTTCCCGGCGAGACTCTCCCTCGGTCGGGGAATCGGAAAAGTTCGGACGAGTTCGAAACGAGACGGCGGCAAATGTTAACCGCCGCGCTGAAATTCAGGAGCGACAACGCGCTGACGACGTGAAGTAATGACGCGGGCGAGAGGAATCCACGTTGACGGCGCGAACAGAGATCGCGAGGCGTGAGAGAGACGCGTGCGATGAGCAACACCTCCGCTTTTAATCGCGGACGAGCGACGACTACGTGCCGTGGGTTTTGCGGTGGGAATTAACGGGCGTACATTACCGATCGAGTGATATGCCATATCCGCCGGACGTACATACGAGCGCACGATCCGCCACCTCGACGTAATCACGCCGATCGCTCCCTTCGTCGGCGTCGACGATCGCAATCGGGAACCCGCTCGCGAATCGCCGTTCCACCCTCTCGATTGGCCCGCCACGCGGAACGTGGATCACTGGCAGAGATCGGCGATCGCGGTCGCATCGCCGCCACCGTCGTCCGCTATCACGGGGATCCCCTTCGATCACGTGACCGGCTGCACCCTACAACCATCACCACGGCGAGGCAAACACCACGTCGCGAAGATGCTGACCATGTCGACACTGATGATGCCCACGACGATGACCACTATGACGAATCCGGCCCCGATACCGGCGCACAGCGTGCCGCAGAAGATAGAACCACCTAAGCTGACCGCAGCCACTACGCTCACCCACACGGCGGCGACCGCCAACAAATCAGGTGCCGCTTTATAGTTTACAGATTTATGGCTTCGCGCTATCATTCGCTCTAAGATTCGTACGCGTCACTTGTGGCGCGAGCGAGTCGAGAACGTCGTCCTTGCACAGTCGTGGCTTCGTGCAAAATTGCCACTTTTAACGTCACGTCTGTGAGCGCGAAACTGCAGCAGTCCGCGTATCGCGTGTGTCAGAGTTTCGCTGACGGGAGAGATCGACATTGTCGGTAATGAGAGTGAGGTACTGCGAAAGACGAGAAAAAATTCACGAACTCACGCAAAGTGGACGGGATTTGATTTTTCAATTATAAATTTTGCGAGAGCTCTTCCGGCTTTAATATCGCAGCAAACGGACCGAGCTTGTTGAGACATCGGCACACACACGTGGAAAAATCATTATTACACGGAAGAAAGGGTCTTTTTGGATTTAATATAATGCATGTTCGTTTGACTCGAGTTTGTTTAAAATAAACCACATAATTTAACATCAAATATCATTCTGTCCGAGTGAAAACGTTGTTTCACCAGGGTAAACCAATCGTGCAAACATTTCGCATAGAGATTTTTCTTCGTGAAACAAATGCAATTTCGACAGAAGTACGTTATATTGTCTCAAAATACTGATCGATACAAACATCAGTTGAGCGAACACGAGCCAGACCGCGAATTAACAGTGCGAAAACCTTATTATTCGAATGTCGGCCCACTAATACGCTCGCTGCATGATTATTTAATCACAATCATCCGATGGTAGCAATAATTTACGGGCAAAGTAAATAAACGCGAATGAACCGGGAACCGTGAAAGCAACCGTAGGTAATACAGACCGGGCAATGTTATAAAAATGTCGTCAAACGTGTTAGTGTCACGCGAGCGGACGTCCCGCGAAGCGGATTATCATGAAAAATAAACGATGACCACGAAATGCGTGCGCTGTTATCCTCGAAGACCAAGGAGGATGATAGGCCAAGAGGCAATCGAATGACGTGCGGCGGTTGCACAACATCACGGGTTTTCTTGAGCGGATGGGGACAATTCCGTCATGAAAAAACAGGTGGGGAACGAACGAGCCAAAACCGACGATGATAGCCGCGGAAGCGAACTCAATTTGCGTAATAACGAAGGGGAGAGGTAATCTGCGAAGGAAGACGAAGGGGGGGGGGGGAAAGTAGCGCGGGTGTTGTATGTCGGACAGAAATGTCAAAACGCGCGCTATGGCGCGTCGCTGGCGCGATGTGCAACGCTAAAAACAGAAAGCAACTTGTCTCAAAGAGATACGCGCGACAAAGGACGCGCACGGTAACAGGTGAACGCGCGGTAGTAACAATCAGAAGCGTGACGCAACAGTCGCAGCTTTGCGGAATGTATCGCGGGGAATTACAGCAACTACTCCGAAGATGACTGAAAGTGTCACGTGGCCCCCGAGTCGGGCACATATTCGTCTGTGTGACAGGCGTTCTAACATCGGGCTGTAACATCGCTTTTCCATCTCTGTTTTCGAACTCGAGAGTTTGAAATGTTCAATCGCCTCTTTATACAGAGAAAGGATATCGAGATGCTCATTTTCTAACATACAAAAACTCTCTTTCCTACAATTTTAACATCTCCCCGATCAAATTCGCGACTCTTTCGGTGACTCTATGATTCGCAACAACGAGACACTGTGTGACGTTTACGTTAATGTGTCTATTCGTTGTTCGCGGCTCTCCGTTTGCAACTATCTCTGCCATGGGCGTAGCTAGAATTTTAGTTAGAGAGCGGGGCAAAAATTTATTTTCATGTAAGTAGCGCACTTATATTAAAGCCGGTTCTCGTGGATCTTCGGTAAACTGTTGAAATATTTGTTCCTCGAGTTCCTTTCTTCGCACAAGCACCACTTTTCTGTGTACACTTAACATACATAATCCACCGAGATGATTTTCTGATATTGTTAACGGCAATCAGATTTTCATAACTTAATTGTTTCTCCCCTCCCCCCTTGCCAAAGTTTAGGAGGAGCAAGCGCCCCCTGCTCCCCCTTGCGTACGCCCATGGTCTGTGCTACATTGATCAAATGCAAATTGCGACGCTTTTTTACGACGAGCGACGTCTCGGCAGAGAAAGAGTTGAAAAATCCTCCAGGGGAAATTAGTTTGAGACAAACTCGAAAATGCCGTCTGCTCGGATAGTCATCGAGGGCGTCTGAAAAATTCGCGACGCGATCGTCGAGCCGAATCTCCGTCGTAAATTGCGGTCGAGACGAATTGAAGACTTATTCGGATGCATTTCGCCATGATACATTTTCCCCGCAAAGTTAAGACCGTCCCGTGTTCCCATTTGGACACCCATAAAAGAAGCGCTCCAACTTCTCTCTCGCTCGAAGGGGAGCGAGGTAAGGGCGGCAAGGTCCGGCTCGACCGCCTGTCACTCGCATTGAAATTCAAACGCGCGTTGCGACCTATCAGACTTAACAGTGAACGATCCGACCTATTTAACAACAACTTCGTGATTGATTTCGGCATTTTGAAGAAGCGACGAATTCGTCGCGCCGGCTCCCGTTAATTAAACAGACGTCGCGACAACACCTGCCGGTAATAACCGGCGTCCACGGGCATTCAAGTCGCGCGCGATTATCCGCCGATTAAAAATGCATAATTGCTATTAAACCGGGCGCGTCGAAATCCGGGGAAGCCGCCTTTGGCGCCGCTCCAGAGCGCCGTAAACGCTACTCAAATGGCGCTCAAGCCAGAATTTTTCTTCGCTCAAGTAAAAAGCCGGAAGGACCGCGCACGGTCGCGCGAGCGGAAACGATTGGCTCCGTTCGCGTTCGCCCACACATCGGATAACATCTTCCCCCGTTTGGCGCTTCGGCGCGCGAAAAGTCGCGATAATATATCGGCGACGCGACGCGGCGCGGCGCGCTCTCGCACGGCTATGTTTGCATACGTGTACGTAATCCTAAGAGTGGAATATGTACAGCTGCCAATAGGGCAATCCCTAGCCGCGCGCACTTAGCACGTACTAGCAGTAGTTACCGTTACATCGCGAGCGTACGTGTCGTGGGAGCGTAACAAGGGCGCGATTTCCCGGGCATGCCGCGCGCCACGTATACCTCGGCTGCGTAGTATGCGTGTCGGCTACGTGGGACGGATGTATGGAATTTATCGAAGACCACCAGACGTCGCGACGCTTCCTCGCACAGCGACTCGTTCCTTCCTTCGCTCGTTCCTCCGAAGATCAATCGCGCTAATTATCGGCGAGCGAAACAACCGAAAGCGGATTTCCAGGGGCGCGCTTCTCGAATCCCCTTATTCCCTCTCCCGCCCTCCCATTGTCGCAGCTCCTTTACGAGATGCAGGCCCCGATTGACTCAGACAACGACTTATGAATGGCGCCTCGCAGTCCATCCGATCGACTCGGACCGACTGCGAGGCCTTCGTTATTTACAACGTGCGCAGAGTTAAGCACAGTAACAAGGGGAATTGAGAAGGAGCGATTGAATATCCCGGCTTAACTAAATTAGCTCCATTTCCAATAGCGTTTCGGACCTCTAGGACGGAACTTGTCTCTCCGCGGGAGGAAACGAGCAAAAATTGCTATTCTCGATCGAATCGATAGGTTACCGTTAAAGTGTTCTTCCTTCTTTTTCTCTCTCTCTCTCTCTTTTATTAAACAAGCGTGAGATGAAAATTGATTAAATATACCGGAAATATTACGTGCCGCATCGACGAAGACGAAAATCCGCTTTAATTCTTCCAACGCGTAATTTTGCTTTTATTAGCTCGATATAATTAAAACGCAATCGGGATCGATAAGTTGTTTCTTTTTCTCCAGTTTCACGATGAATGTACGCCTTTTTGTCAAGGGAAAAGAGAAGAAAACCGCGCATAACACGGTAGATACGAGGATGTGTTATTTTAATACACGGCTTTCGAATGAAACTTTCGACATAATTTTAGAACGATCAATCTGAAAACTACGTTATAAATGATGGGTTTGCGTCAGGTGGTACTACATTGTACCTCGGCATGCCGCGAGTCACATGGTGCTACGTAATGTTACGGTTGACATGTGAATGGTCTCTCATCGCGAACTCCTGTTAGCGAAGTAACTAATGCTCCTTGATTGTGCAAATGCAAACTACGAAACACCTTTAATACTACTCTCAATGATGAGCGACCAAACGCTCAGTGCGACGATGCATTTCTCAACGCAATGATTTACGAAAATGCGGAGCCACTTTTTCCACGTAATAACGCTTTCGAGAACATTTTTCGACATCGCCGCGCATTTCTCGCGCATCGGCAATGGCAAAACACTGTTATTCGCCATTTTCGCGCTTAAATAATATTACGAGACGATACAATGTTGCGTTCCCGAAATATCTATTTGTACATGTGTGACGAGTGTTCATATCTCTGATACATGAATATTATATTTCCCCCAAAAATGATGTATTAATAATAACGCATAGAGAATAATTGAACAAATTGGCAAATGCAGTTATGCGAATTGCGTCAATATCGTTATTCGATATGCACGAGAACGTCGGTTTTCCTCTCGTTCCGCGCGTCGGGCTTTCGCGAGACAATGATTTTTTTCCGAACTCTCCGGTGGAACCGGTGGACGCGCACACTTCCATATATGGGTCCCTCGCATCTAAAGGGTAAGTGCTCGTAAAGTTGTTTGTCTGCTCGATATACTGCAATAGCAAGAAGGCGGCCATTAGCACGTGAAATTCGTTTAAACGCAATTCGCGAACGGCGCGGTCCGCAAATTGAATTGCGCGAAGGCTCGGCTGTTCTTACTGTCGATACTCGCATCGCAAAATGTCATTTCGGTAAGTGGTAATCGACGCCGGCGATGGGGTGAGGGGACGCCCGCGAAGTGACGAGTCCGTTTAGCGTGAAGCGTTACGCTTTATCGTCTTTAATCACCCATTCAACTATTCACGTTCAATCGCACAAAACACCGATCGGAGTTACGAGAGACTTCCACAGAAAAAATGAACGATTCAAAGCGGAAC